TGGGTAAGGTCAAGCACGTAAAATTATGGTAGGTAAGTTAATAGGCTACGGTTTACTTTACCCCCGCGGGAAGTATTTTGGCTATGACTTTTTAATTTTACATTATTGTAGGCTCAAATTAAATAAGTATATTTTTCGACGCTGTGGGGGGGGGGGAGGGTAAAGTAAAATCTTACCAAATCTGAAGATCCACATTTGTGTATTTATTTACGAAAGAACCGGATGGTATGAGGCCCTCCCTTTAAATTAGCACTTTTCAGGATAAGACCTGCTCTTCAATGAAACGATTCGTTTTCCACGCTGCTACACCTAATAGACATGTGGGGGACAAGCTCAGTAGCGGTGTTCTGTTTCCCGGCACGACTTCCGGAGCCACGCAAAGTGGACTTTTGGCAATTACTAGTTTCGGGTCCCCACTAAGGAACGCGCACGATTGGATATATTAGGTTGGAACATGAGTTCGCCAATCGAACTTTGGAATTTCGTTCTGAAAATTTAGTGGCCGTTCCGATGTTTCTTTTGCATGTTCTATTGGGTTCTGGTTGTGGGTCAAAATTACGGTTTTTGCCCCAGTAGTTTTGAAGATTTTTGCGTTTCTCTCGGGGTACTCAATTTTTGACCCGGACATCTTTCCGAACCGCCATAAAGTCACCATAGGCTGTCATCGCTTTATATGTTATATCTTCAGCTGCATGCCAATTGCCTAAAGGAAGCCAAATTTGTTTTGTAAAGGCGGGCCGCCATTTTTCATTTTCGCTTTCTGCTTTTAATTCTAATGGAAGCAACGCGTTCCGTCCCACACAACAAATGAGATTTTTTTGCATTCCGTTCATCAAAAACATTTTGGTTCTTGCCCGTTTTCCGGTCCGAAAATTACAAGAAGAAATATTGCGGCTTTGTTCCCTATATATAGCCATCAGTTTAACATTATTTCCTTAACTCTATTTTTACATATCCCACCCTCCCATGAATAAACATTTTGTCAAGGCCGTATTTTTCAGAACTACAAATAAAATGTGACGAGCCCTTTCCAACAAATTGTTTTATCAGGATTCAAAATACCAAAAATGCACATAAACGTAGTGGTCGCTTCGCGACGAAAACACACTTTCCGGATTTGGCTCCTCTTTTCGTCCAGCATGTGCATGGGTCAGCAATTTCCCCCCGTTTTATCAATGTTCAGCGCCCTGAACGGCGTGATATACAGCCAGGGTCAGCTAGCAAAAAAATATTGTTTTTGAGTTGTACGGAGGATCCTTTGAATTTTTATTGTAGTTACCATCAGCAAAAGTACCGTTATATTCTTTCCTTCAAGGCGTCGGCCCTTCACTCCCGGGGGAATTTTCCACGTGATTCCTAATTGGCACCCTGAAAATTTCGCCGCCACGCCAGAATTGCCCACGTTTTCTCCTTAATCCTTCAATACTCGTTGTCCATGTAAAAATGACAAACTAAAGGGGCCTTAAAGTCGACAATTTACTCCTTTTGACACCAAGCGTCATAGATCGAATCGTGAAACGTGCCGGAATCTTTTCTTTTTCTTTGAATTACACCTAGCTTACTCATATCATTAATGCCTAGGTGTTCGTGACGTATAGATTCATAAATAGATCAATATTCCGTTACACTCCGGTCGTACTATCGATCAGATATCAGGGGCCCCCGAATTCGGGGTTTTCGTAACGATTGACTCATCGCACTGGCAGACAATACAAACCAACGATAAATGTTTCGATTTTGGTGGCTGGGCTCGATGTCCTGTTATCAATCGGGCAGATCTGCTGAGCCCGAGTGTATTTCACGTATAAAAGCCGTCGCTAGAGAAGACGAATCTCTCGCCATTCCACACCGGCCAACCACATTCATTTCAATCAGCTAGCAATAGCCTAGCTATACCTAGGGTGAAAACTACGTAAATTTTGGTAGACGGGTAATAAATTTTGTGTTTTGAGAGCTTGTTTTATTTTGGTGCCAGGAGCTCTTATAAGCCGCAAGAGGGTTTTTTTATAAGGGTTAAAAATAAACAGGTTTCGTTATACCGTGAATATATTGTCGTTGTTTTTTTTGAGAGCTTCAGGTATTTTCATGCCCTGACATCTGATAAGCGCCCGATGTACATTCAGCCACTTTTACTGAAAAATCCCGCCCGGTATCCGTCTAATCCGGGCCGGATTTATTTTTATTTTCATGAAACCCGGTCCTGTGATGCGCTTAGAAATTTTAGTTGTTCGGATTTTACACGTGTACGATACTACTTCTCCTCTTCTCTAGAACTATTTTCGAACTCAGTTTTATCCTTTAGTGAGTATACAACGGCATCATTAAATGGGCTAGAAGGTAGTATTCAGCTTCTACCATACTTTTGGCTAGCCGCAAAAACTAATAAAATTCATCATAAAGCTATTCAGATAGCTAAGAATTATTCTGACTTGACGAATTTTGTTATATCTAGCTGACCTTTGCCCAAAATCTGTTCGTAAAGAAAACATTTTCATTTTCATATGTCATATTAAAAGTTAGATTTTTGCGTAATTCTGCCGCTTTTTCAATGCTCCAACCGCAACTTCCATCCGTGGCGGTCCCAATTTATTACCCAGCAAAAAGCAGCCTCGTGCCGCCGACCCAAAAAAAGATTTGTTGCCATTTGCAGGTGGTAGGAGAGGGCTGTCTGTTCTTCTCCATTCCTTCGATCTCTCCCCATCTCCTCTCACCCGTCCACTGGAGCGCCGCGGCCGCGCGCAGCGTTCTCCTCGAATGAGAGAGTGCGGTGGGAGAGAGGGTTCTGGCCATGGGAATACCCGGGGGAAACGTGCCAAACAACAACTCACATGGCACCTTCAATCACTTTTTCATAGGGCTGTCAACTAATTTTGAAGGGTTTTATGGTTTTTCGGTTTATTTCCATCTTTTAGTGCATATTTAAGCTTGGTAAGAGGGAACTGGCGCCAATTTTGTACTTTATAGCCTGGCAAAACAAAGGGCAATCGGGCGTTCCTGGCTGATAAGTCCGGGAAATGTTCCATGTTTATGATTTTATTTTTTTAGAAATAGTCGAAAGTTCATTTGGCTTTTTAGACGTTGGTAACCTGAAAGGAGTTATTTATAGCAAAACGAGTTGTTTAGAAATCGTACTTATTTGTAAACTGTATGTTGGGCGTAACTATTTTTGTAATTTGTATGTTTTAAGCTTTTCCTTTCGAATTTTGCAACTGATACAAAATCTCGATAACCTAAAAATTAGGTAAAATCTCGGGTCGCTGACGAGTGACTGGGACAGCTGGCGGGGAACGAGCTTCATCACCTCCTTTTCTTCTCCACAAAAAATCGTCCAAAAATCGGCAGGCCAGGAAGCGGCACCACTGGTAAGCCAAAGAAGATCCTGCAGTCTTTTATCATTATTATATAATATTTTCATCTCAAAATCCTGCAGTTTAAAGGCTTGTTCATAAAAATCTTTTAGGATAAGCGCCGAACCCAAAACTGGACCCACCACAGGACCCGACGATCGACCCGATCCCGTGGCAATCTGTCAAGGATGGAGGTAGGATTAAATAATCATATTACGTATCATTATTGATCGAAATTTAATGTAAAAAAATGCGTTTAGCGTTCTCAAATGCCGCCCCTAACACATCCATCGGGGAGAAGCCGCAACATTTGCGATTCAGGAGTGTGAAAAGTGAAGAGGATGATGGTACGTAGCAAGGTTTACCCGTGGTAACCGAATTAGAATTTCAGGACGAGCCTGAGCATAGTTTCTCGTAGAAACGACTCCTCTTTCCAGGCAAAATCGACGTCGAGGCCACCGGCCCGTCCAGCAACGAGTCGAGGGGGTTCAGCACGGAACCTCGAACTCCTCCAACAGCTCTCGCCCCCGGAGCACGGCCAACATCAAATGACGCCTGTGCATCGATTGTCGGACATTTGATGAAGTTCAACATGGTACGCCAATAGAATTTTAACTTAGCTAAATTTTTAACTATATTGGAAGAATTCTAGGGGTTCCGGAAGTCTAATCTAATCAAAAAAAACAGAATACGACCCCAACATCCATTTTTCAGTCAAACGACGATGAGTTCAGCCGAAAAGCCTGCGAATCGTTGATCCGGAAGATGAAAGATAAACGTTCCGAGCTTGACGCACTGATTGGAGCTGTATCCTCACTTGGAAACGAGCCTGGACCGTGTGTAACAATTCCAAGGACGCTTGATGGACGTCTCCAGGTTAGTATGAACGCATCTTGTTAATTTTTCGCTATTCAGGCAGGCATTTCAATAATCTCGATCTCCCTGCTGTAAATCTCCAATTTCAGGTAGCCGGTCGAAAGGGTTTCCCCCACGTCGTCTACGCAAAGATCTGGCGGTGGCCGGATTTGCATAAAAACGAGCTGAAACACCTGCCGATTTGTGCATGCGGATTTGACTTGAAAGGAGATAACGTGAGTCTGAGATTAGCGGCAAGAGAAGCACCAAAAAGTTTTAGGTCTGCGTGAACCCTTACCACTACGAGAGGGTGGCCACGCCGGCGTTGATCAACATTTCTGGAGATCTGAATTGCGGGTGAGTGAGTCGGAACAGAGAAGAATAGGAGAAGAAATAAGAAAAGCGAAAAGAGCGAGAGAGAGAGCGGAGAGGGAGAGAAAAATCTATAGATAGCTATTTTATATTTGCTTATAAGGCAGGCGAATATGAAGTTTGTTCTTCTGCTGATCCTATTCTGACGCACGGATTCCAAACGGATTTACCAGGCCTCATTTCCCGCTCAAGGGCTTTCATTAAAGCCAAGAATGGATCACAAAAAAAGACGAAAATGTCAATCCCGTTTAATATGATATTCCCAGGCTCGACACGAGTCCGCGAGAGACGAAGCGCTCGATGGATTTCGTTGGAGCTCCAAACGGTTACCGCGGGCCGCTCGGCATCAATAATCGTAAGTTTTTGTCATTCTACGCTATGTGCAAACTTGGAAATCCAAAATGCCAAATTTTAGCCAATCTCGACATGGCACAGTTGAAAAGCTGCTTGGACACGAAGGATGAGCTCAGGTAACTTTCCATGTGGTTTCTGTTTGTCTCGCTGTCGCTCCCTATTTCCTTCTCTCTGCCTCTCTCTCTCTCGCCTGCTTCTATATCTCTCTATACCTGGGTCAACCCCTCCAACACAATCCTTATGCCATTTTGCTAGCACCAATTCTGTTAATTTCCTGGTTTTGACATAGATTAGCTCACACTATGGTATTTTTCTGGGTCCTAATTTCAAAGCAAGCGAGCGGTGATCATTTGTCAATCTAGAAAAATTGCGGTAAAAATTCCGTGCGACCACGAGTCCGAAAAGCCGCAAGCCGCTAGAAACAGCTGCGACTCCTAGCATGCCCCCATAACCTTGTCAGGATCTTCGAGGCCATCCCATCGTCTGAGTCTGTCTGTCTGTCTGTCTGTGCTGCCTCACGTGTCTGTCTGTCTGCTTGAGCCAAAAACTGCGCAGCAAAAATGGGAAGGATGTTGGTGAAGAAGGGCAGTTAGTAGAAGACGAAGGAGGAGGAAGAGGAGGAGGAGGAGAGCAATAGGGACCAGCCAGACGGGAATCCCGGGCCAGACGGCCTCGCCCCATCTTTTACCCCCTCAGCGCTCTCTCGCTCTCGCTTGTCTCGATGAGCAGACTCCACCCCCTGTCTCTGTCTGTTCGTCTGTTCGTCTCTCTGTCCATTTCGCCATCTGTCTGTCTCTGTCTGTCTGTCTGTCCTCCTCCGCCTCTTCGGCCCGTACTTATTGCCCAGTCACGGAGGAGCTTTTTCTTCTGTCATGGCCTGGCTGAAGACGAGAGCCCTAGCTTGATATTGCTGCAGAAAAGCTGACTTGTAAAACAAAATTGAGAAGTTTATGTTTATTTTTATGTATTGAGAAGAGAAGGAGCCAAGTATTTTCAATTGGAAGAGTTAAGGATTTTTCCAAAATTTTGAGCCTCTTTTCGGGCAGTAGTCACGGTAGAATTCATTTTTTGCGACCCGCAAACCTGAAAGTGAGGCATATTAACCTCACTAGCCGGCTCGGCGGGTAATAAAATGGGATTTTGGGCGTAGTTTGGGAATTCGGGTTGGCTCTATTTTGATTCAGCCGATCGTGTATCGTAGTTTTTGGTATTTTGCCATTTCCAGTGTTGATATGGTTTTCGCTATCTAGCTTAATAGAAGCCTAATGCGTAACTTAAAGGAAAATATTCCATTACCAACGTGTCAATTTTCGTGGTCGCCAATAATAATAGAATTTTGTTCCATGAAATCACCCAATTGTGCAGCGCTAGACTGAACGGGCTACGCTCGTGTTTTGAGTCTAGACACCCCGGCCCAGTAGAGTAGTGGTTTTGCAGTCGTCGGCCGTCTGGGACGGCGCGTGTGTGCGTTGTTTTCCGGTCAGCTCCATTGCCCGTCTCTCCCTCTCTCTCTCTCTCACTCTCACTCTCTCTGTCTCGCCCCGTTCCATTCTCTTTTTATGTGTCTGTTCTCCTCGTCTGGCCGTCTGCCCACCCCATCTAAACCCCTCGGAAAAGCATTGCCCGCCCCCTGCCGACCGGCCGGCCAATGCTTCACGAAAATGGGACCCGAAAATATGGGATTTTTGTTGGTCTTGCCGGCTAGACGGCTGCATTACGAATTTTTCGGGATTTTTTGGAAATAGCTGAAAGTTCCGGGCGCAAAGATACTAGCTTTGGTGGGAACAATTCCGCTGTATCCACCGTATTCTGTCTTAAATCCGTTTAATCCTAGTTTCGAGAATAGTGAACCCAATTTTTCAGCTTTGCGAATGCCCTGAACCTCAACATGCCAGCCGCATCTCAAGCCCTCTCCTTGGCTGGCCAGAGTGAGCATACTATTCTCTCAAGGAAAAATTGTGGTTTTAGCATTTCCCCAGCTACCCTACCTACCGCGTGATGGCGAAAATATGGGTCACGGTAAGTGTTTTTCTGCAAAAATTTGACGGAGAATTTTAAAGAGAAGGCGAATAAAATTATTCGCAGGTTTAAGCTGTTAAAAACGACAGAGTAACTACAGTACTCTAGAACAAAATGTTTCGACAAACTTCTATTCGGTTTTCCCACAAAAATCTTGTTTTTAAGGAATTTTTCGTAGTTTTTCGTAACTAGCTCAAAATTTTAAGCTTTATCTGTTTCAGACCATTTTCTGTTATTAAAACTATACAAACCTTTTTCTAGTCATGCTGCCCCCAGCACCATCCATGGTCTCCCCCAAATTCGAGGCAAAAGTAAGTCACTTTCGCATAGCTATTTTTCTCTCGCTTACAGTAAGCCCCCGCAAAAAAGGCGGAGTGTGTCTGTCGCTGTATGCCATCAGTGTTCCTAAATATACCATCGCCCCCACCTCTTGTCTGATCAGATAAATTCCCAATTTGCAGCGCGCCAAATTGGAAATTGAGCCACAATTTGAAGAGGATTCAGCGAGAGAACCTCTTAAAACGAGCCTTTTTAATCGAATCGCGGTGAGAGTTTTCCCCAATGAACGAGACGGCTCTGCGCCCCTTTTTGGGTTTTTTTTGGTCGAATGGTACGGTAGACGGTTTCGTCATTTAGGTGTCACCGTATGCGCCGCCGACGAAGAAATTCCCGGACGGGGCCATACATCAGATTAATGTGAATTTGGAGCGGAATCGAGGGCCGGAACCCAGCAGTATTTCCGGTGGGTTAGCAAAAAAAACATTGAGTTTTTATACGGTACTATCGAAAGCCAGCTAGCAGAGATTATTTGAGAATTAATTCCCTAAAAAACTATATTTCAGCCGACGATCCCCGGGTCCAATGGGCTTCTATCAACTATTACGAGGAAAAGGATCACGTTGGAACGACAAAAATTGTAGGTTATACTACGATAAGTCTTCTTATAGCGTTAATCCGTTAAATCATGACTTTCAGGTTGAAACCCCCGACATTTTCATCGATGGCTTCATGGACACCCTCGAAAAGTGCCGATTCTCGCTGGGCGGGTTGCCAAATGTTAAGCGAAGTCATCAGTCAGCCAAGGCTCTGTAGGTTTTACAAATTAGTACCTTTAGCTTTAACATGCGAGCATTTAAAATATATGGACCTTTTCAGCGAGTACATCTGCGAGGGCGTCAGACTTTCGATGAAGGACAACGGCGATGTTTGGCTGCAATGTCTCGGAAAACAACCTCTTTTCGTGACTTCAAATTATTTGGACCGAGAGAGTGGGCGGCAAGGGGGAGATGCCGTTCATAAGGTGTATCCCGGAGCATCGCTAAAGGTTTGTTCTTCTCATGAAAAACCGTCATTATTTTAAATTTACAAAACATACCACGAATGCCCCGTTAAATTAATATAATAAATATTACTTGCATAAACTCGCATATTCCACATGTTCTAGGTGTTCGACCTGATGATGTGCCAGCACGAGCTGCAAAGCATCAGTCACCTCAAAATGGCCCAAGCCCTGCAAACCAATGCCGATCAAGCCCAGCAAGGGACTTCAAGATGGGACCCACCGCCCTGTTCGTCTACCACTGGGTCAATAGCGCCGAGTTATGAAGATGAGGTACGTCGATTTTACTCTTTGGAAATATCCACTCGGCAGTATCTAAAAGTAAGGTAATTTTCCAGAAAAACCCAGCCCCTTCGGCGGATGTAGGGGTCGACGACATGCGACACGCTTGCGTGATTCGCATCTCATTTATCAAAGGATGGGGTCCGGACTATCCAAGGAAATTGATCACTGATACGCCCTGCTGGATTGAGATCGCTATTAACAGGTTTGTAACGAAAATAGGGCAGTAATTTAGCAAGGAAAGTATGGAAATCCAAATATAAACTTTTTAGGGCGCACGCGTTGCTGGACGAGGTTGCAAGAAACATGGCCAGCATCCTCGGCAACGATATGCGATATCGACATTGAGCTCGCCACCCAAAAATATTGTGATTGTTGACTTTTTATGCTTTTTGGTTAGCACGAACGCGCATAGTTTCTCAAAATACGTCTTAGTTGCTCCAGCATTTCGTTCGGAATCCGGTGTACATCTTTGTTCCATTCTTCTTTTTGGTTTTTGTTCTTTCCCCCGCACTGTTAAAGGTATAGCCAAGCTGAAAAAGCGCTTTTACGTGGCAAAAACCAGAAAATTAATGCTGAAGTTATACTGCATCATTAGAAAAGTTCGCTCAAACTCAGCCGGCACTTGGTTATACCTTTAATTTCGACGAAAACCTCGAATCTTATTGAAAGTCAGGACCCCGCCTTGCCATTTTTATCGCAATATATTTTACAAAGTGGCTTCGCCCATGTCGAGTGCATCCCCCATCTTTTCTCCATTCCCCCTCCTCCTCCTCAGCCATCCAAATGCCATTTGAATTCGATGATCGACACGTTGTTATCACCTCTCCAGATTCTACTCAATACATTTATTTATTGGCCCTTTTTTGAATCCTCTACCGCCCCCACACGCTCAGTTTGGACCATGAATTCGTTTGGTTTTTGTACAAAATTGGACCGCTTCAGGAATAAACACTATTTGACCCCGATGAAGCGGTGTTGAGACTTTACAACTGAAGGCATTTTCACAAATGGACGAGCTACCGTTTCCGGTCTAACTTCGTTGGGCCCTCTCCTCGTGGAGGGCCCAGAGAAGTGAGAGGGGGCAGAGCATTTACAGAGGCTTCAAAATCATGGGATATAAATAAACAAATAGCTTGGAAAATAAAAACCCGCTACCGTCGTGCCTACGAATGCACAAAAAATCAAGATTTTTGCAAAGCTTACTTTCTCAAAACGATTTTTTTAATTTCAGCGCTCCAGAAACAGAAAAACTCATCTGGTGCTTACGAGAACACACTGATAAAGCTTCCGATCGCAACAATTTAGTCAACCCCCGCCGGATCTGGCCAAATCACGTGATTATTGAAACAAATTACCTAAAATATCGCTATGGCAAATCAAATGTTCGTTGCAGCACAAAGGACTTTTCTTCGACGTATACACTACACTTTAAGCTTTGTCCACATTCTTCGTCAAAAATTCTCATTTTGGCGTGCCGCTGCCTTTTTAAAGCCCTGTCTGAAACGAAAACATTCCTTCAATCAGCTGAGCTTATCATCATCACCCATGCCACAGGAAGCTTTTTGGATTCGCAGAAACGGGAAAATAGGCAGGGTGCCAGGCAGCTAGCCTTAACCTCGGGCTCAACCCACCCGATCCACCAAACGCCCCCACCAAACACTGGCTTCAATACAAGAGAGTCATGAGAGTGGGGTCTAGCGTTCCTATCCCCAATTGCTCCTACGATCCATGATTTTTCGAGAGAGGAAAGAAGGGAAAAAAACACAAATTTCAAAAATGCCTAAAGAAAACGACGTTGTTGTGGGGTCACCGATAGAAATATAGAGAAGAATTGGAATTATGGGAGGGGTTTAAGGGTGATATAGGTGAGAATAGGATTTATCTGGATTTAAGCCGGAAAAATTGCGAAATAGAGCTTGTGCGTTCTTGCGTTGCTCATTCTTTCGGGGTTTTAACCGATATTTATCGGAAAAGAATCGGTATGTGGGTATTCTGGGTCTGGGAAGTAAAAAGGTGCTGGGAGATCCTTATAATGAACAACTGAAGTAGTCGAGTTAGCTTTGTACGGATGAAGGGGTGAAATCATGAATTGGGGTAATTTGGGAGTAAGGTTGTTATTTGTATCCTTTATGAGCGATGGAATCTGAGATTCTTCTTTGAGCGGGAAATAGAAAATTTTATTTTCCGCTTGGGGCTCTTTGATGGTTTGGATCCCTATGTACCTTTTGAAAAGGTAAAACTAAGGGTTTGTGGTAGAGGAAGAAAGACCCTTCTGGAGTTGGGAGCTTAGACCGGACCCCCCCCCTCTGACAGTGGATCATCACGAGGCTCAGAGCCTGCAGCTATCGATTTCAGCCAACATCCGGGTTTGCCACTTTTCTGTACGATTTGTACGGTTTGGTAGCCGCAACACCACGTTTTTATGCTGAAGAACTCACTAAAAAATCATAGACATACACATATCGATTCTGGAATGGGAGCTGCAAAATGCCGCATTCACCATAGATTTTTCGTGCTGACATTTTTCCAAAAAAACTAGGTTCCCTTCCTCGAAAATCAGCGGTATCCCGCTCCATCCATCTCTCTTTTTAGAAACAACCTACAAAAGGCAAGATAAGGTGCCTGCCTTGTTTTCACCTGCTTCTTTCACTTTCATTTTCCTAGATTGTATCTTTACCTTCGCAAGTGAGACACAAAAGAATAGAAATCTTATCGTATTTTCTGAAGTATATTCCTGGAAATGCCCGTTCTTTTTTTGCCTTTTGCGCTCCTTGTCTCCCCCCGAACCGCATCGGCTTTTTGATCAAGATTTGCCGGAACCAGCCGGTTCCCTCTGCCACCAGCGCATAACATTTTTTTCGATGGCAAACAGCGGGTTGGCGCTATTTTATTTTTGGTGCGCACTGAATTGTAGAACTTGGTGAATTTTAGGGTTCCCCATTCCCAAAGCGCAGGGGTATTAACTTTATTAGCTTTTTAGTGTGGAATCCTATAGATCGACTATACGCGTACGCATAGTCGTGTTTGTGTGCGACTATACGAGAAACTCCCGAAAATATAGGCACAATCTGACCCGCGACCCCTACGATTTGTCCACTGGTTTCGCACCCACAACCCGGGGCTTTTAGGGGCTTCCACCTGTTGTCTGGCCCCTCCAGGTACACCCGTTCCATCGCGCCGACCCTCCACTTTTCACAGCTTTTATTTCCGGGCGGATTCTCGGCTGATTCTCGGCGAAAAGCGACGGGCGAGAGACGATATCTGTGGCGTGACATTTTTGTGCCTTGGAACTGCCCAATGAACTCGCCCAAATACCGCCCGCTTTTTGGGCAGTTTGCAGGGTTTTACATCATTCCTGTCAACTTGATATTTTGAAATTCCGAAACGCTACGATTCTAACCGAAGCGTATTTTGGAATGGAGCGGAATCAGCCGAAACAAAAAAAATTTCGCAAAAATCTTTCCGAACATTTTTTACTTTTTATTAGCTTTAAAATAACACAGTGAAATGGCTGCCGGGTTTCTGCCGGATGGCAGCCGGGAAAAATGGCTCTGCCGGCTGGCAGCCGGGATCTTGCCGGCTTTCTGCCGGCTGCCGGGATTCTCAAATCTTCTGATCTTATGATTCTCAAAGACCCTTTCCTTTTTCTCTATCCATTTGGCGCCTAAAAGCTGCAAAAACCAGGAATTTAGATGGTGGCGGAGAACGGCGAGGCGGTGGCGCCGCCCTTTTACAAGCCACAACTGACCGGTGACTCGGCCGAAGAGAAGCTCCGTGAATTTATCAACAAGAAACGCAGCGAGAAAATATGTGATTTTTCTCCCCAACCATAAATATATGAATTCAGTTTCGTACGATCAACTCCACCGCTACTCTTGCACGCATTACCCCGAATTCTGGGGCGATTTCCTTCAGTTTTCCGGCGCTGTTTATGAGGGCGATGCTTCCGAGGTTTGATTGGATTTTTCGGTTATTATCTTTTTAGGTGGTAGATTGCAAAGCAAACGTTGCCACGATCCCGAAGTGGTTCCCGAACATCAAGCTCAACTATGCCGAGAATTTGTTACGAGGGAAGGATGACGATGAATTTGTTGCCGTCACAAGCTACGGTAAGAATTTAAGAAGTGTATCACACAATTTGTAGATGAAAATCTGAAAGCGGTTGACAAGACCCGAAAAGAATTGCGACAGGATGTGGCCAAAGTTGCCGCGGCTCTGAGGTCACTTGGCGTAGGGAAGGTGAGTGATAAGAGTTACGACAGGTTATTTTCGGCGTTTTTGGGGCTTCCGCTCGATTCTATAGTTTTTGTTTAGGGTGATGTGGTCTGCGGATTTATGCCAAATGCATATGAAACGATCGTGTCGGCACTTGGAACTGCAGCCATCGGAGCAGCATGGTCTAGCGCAAGTCTCGATTTCGGGCCGGGCGGCGTTCTCGACAGGTTCAAGCAGGTGAGGAAATAAAAGAATATTTTATTCCTCGTTTAGGTGAAGCCCAAGGTTATCTTCACTGTCAATGCCACCACCTACAAGCGCAAGCTATTTGATTTGCGACGCAAAGTGGATGAGATTGTTTCCGGTGAGGAATTGAATTTTTATTGCTTTGCGGCTTGCATCGGCAAAACTAGAGAAAGCATTTTTTAGAGTTGCCAACCCTGGAAAAAGTGATCCTGATCAACTACAAGTCGGCGCTCCCCGTCAACCTCAGCGACTACAAATGCAAGGAGAAGCTGGCCATGTACGAGGATTTTGTCGCCAATTTCAGCGGTGCCAAGCCAAGCTACGAACGAGTAAGGATTTTACTTAATTGTTTAATATTAAAATTAGGTGCCATTCGGCCATCCACTCTTCGTAATGTTCTCCTCCGGCACGACGGGCGTGCCGAAAGCTATGGTGCATACCGTTGGGGTATTTTTACAGTTCTTTTGGTGAAGACCGTAATTTTAGGGGACGTTACTTAAACACCTCGAAGAGCATTTGATCCAAAATGACGCCCGGCAGCAGGATTCTATGTTTTTCTATACGACCTGCGGTTGGATGATGTGGAATTGGTGAATTTTCAAAAGCTGCGATAATCTAGGGATTTTAGGTCAATCTCGTTTTTGGCTTTTGGCAGCCGATTGATTTTGTACGACGAGTCCCCCCTGGAGCCCGATCACTACGTGATCCCGAAAATTATTTCCGATTCCAAGGTTGGTTTTCAAAATGGAGCTGAACCTTTTTTAATTATAGGCAACAATCATCGGGATGGGCGCGCAACTCTACGACCGATTTGAGAAGATTGACGCCAAACGGAATTTGTGTGAGTTGGATTATGCATTTCAAGTATTTCTTGCAGGCAAAGAATTCGGACTTGGCGCGGTTCGGCTAGTCCTCTCGACGGGCAGCCCCTTGAAGGAGGCCATTTTCCGGTACATCAACGCAAAGTTGGCGCCCGGGGTATGTTTTATATTATTATACTCAAAAAGGTAATTTTCAGGCCGTGATCGGGTCTATTTCTGGTGGTACGGACATCATCGGTTGTTTCATGGGTGCCACGCTTTCGAAGTCTGTCATCCCCGGGCAATGCACCGTCCCCTACCTTGGCCACGAGATCAAGTCGTTCAATCCACGAGGTTTTGATTTGTTTAGCCGTTTTAACTTTTCAATTTTTCAGGCGAAGCTATACAAGATCAGCAAGGCGAGCTCGTCTGCCTCACCCCTTTCCCCTCTATGCCATCGCATTTCCTAAACGACACGGTGATTTCTTTTCATATGGCCTAACTTTTTTGTAGGATGGCTCCCGCTATTCCAAAGCCTACTTCGAGCGCTTTCCGGGTGTCTGGGCACATGGCGACTACTGCATCATTGATTCTGCGACCGGCGGGATTACGATGCTTGGAAGGTATTGAAAATTGGTTTTCATTGACTGAATCATTTAGATCTGACGCTACCTTGAATCGCGGTGGAGTACGTATGGGCACCGCCGAAATCTACAACGTTGTCGACACGTTCGCCGAGATTGCGGACAGCATTGTGGTTGGAAGACAAATGTACGTTTTGTGTTAATCAATCGAAAACTATATTTTTTAGCCCCCAAGAAAAGGACGAAGAGATTTTGCTGTTCGTCAAACTTTCGCCGGGATCCGTTCTGGACGACCATCTTCGATTGGCCATTTGCAAGACGATTAGGGAGCGGCAAAGCCCTCGCCACGTCCCCAACAAGATCATCCCGATCGCCGATATTCCGGTGAGGGGCTTCAAAATACTAAATTTCCGTAATTTTTATCGCAATTAACTACATCCTTATTTTTTCAGTACACCAACTCGGGCAAAAAGGTAGAAATCGCGGTGAAGCAAATCGTCAATGGTTTCCCGGTGGAAAAAGCTTCATCCCTCCGCAACCCAGATTCCCTCGATTTGTACTCCCAATTCCGCCATATGGGCTGATTTTTTTGCTTTTGTCAATGTCCCTATTTCTTTCCGCATCCGAGCTAATGACAACTGGTTCTTTGAATGGAATTTTCTTGCAGTGCTGGGTCATTTTCGGTAAAATTATGCATTTCACGCACCTCGCGCTGGTCTGTTAGTACATCTGTGATTAACGTGTATCTCTGTTTCATATGTGCCGTCGCAATAAAGTTGTTTGGTATCAAGGAGAGATCGATTTATGGCAGGAACCGGTTTGCACATCCAGCTGTTCGTCTCTGTCTCCTAACTGGTGCCCCGGGAGGGGGGAAGGCCGCAATCAATACTGCGTTCCCCCGACACGCTTCCCCGAAGGTGTCTGTACATTCGCTAGGGTTTCGCTTTAGCCCTCTTGGATTTCGTTCGTTTCCTTTTTGCCCTTTCTAGATATAAGGCCTTGCAGATTGCGCAGTCAAAACGATTCATTAGGCATCAACCCGCGTAATTTCTGCCTTTTTGAGGACCCGTAAAGTTTTGACGCATGACTGTTTGTATAACTAAATTACCACTCATTTCCTCTCGCGAAATTCTTATCCAACAAACCATCCTCTTTCCAGATGTCCGACCGTCGTTCTGGTGGCGGCCGTGGAGGTATGGTGCGAGAGGTGAGACGTGATGACCGTCGTGATGATCGCCATGGTGGTGGTGGAGACCGTCGCCCGGATGATCGGTTAGTTCGCAATCGAGTCCTCTAATTTATTGCTTAGAAACCGTCAAAACACTGTCCGCAAGCCCGAGCCGCCGCGTGATATGAAACGTCCCAGCAATGGCCACACAGCTCCCCGTGCTGATGGAGGCCGAGGTGGAGATCGAGGTATTTATCCTGGCGTCCTTAGCTTGGTTTTAGAAAAAAAAATCAGTGATAAACATTTTATTTCTAGGTGGTCCACCCGGTTCCCGCACCATCCACCTGACAGGCCAGCCGTTGAGCGAATCTGATCTGATGTCCGAGCTGCCCAAGAAGAAGTTCACCGGTCGATGCAGACTCTTTGTTGGCAACCTGTCGCACGATGTAAGGACACATCCTTGTAATTATTAACCTTTTTCCAGTTGAAAGAGGACGAGCTCAAGGAGCTGTTCAAGACGCACGGCGAAGTTGCTGAGTGCTACCTCTCGGGCAAGGGATTCGCCTTCGTCAACATGGTATATTCTTGTTTTTTTTCTGCTACTGTTTTGGTGATTGAAATGGGTGGGTCATGAGCGTCTATCCTTGCCGTCGCTTCAGTTTTTCGAGCGCGGATCGGCAGAAAGTGTTTACCGATGTGATTTCGATTCCGAAGTGTGTTTAGCGCGAATCATTCGGAAAAAGGACGACATGGAGCGCGTTTTCTATGCCTATTACCTGTATGGCTCCTCTTTTCTCCGCTTTTGCCTTTGCTCCCTCCTTCCTTCCGTTGCGCGATGCCTTTTTGACAATTTTGGAAGCGAGCAGCTTCTTGACTGCCGTTACGACTACCTCACGTTTCAGACGGAGTTGAGTTGCCGGAAATCGGGAATCTGGGGTTGTAGGTGGAGATTCCTCACCTTTAAAATATTTCGATTTTGCATTGTTTTCCCGTAACCTAGGTGCCATTTTTTTATTCAATCCCGATTCCAGGATACGCGCGCTCATGCTGAAAGTGCCAAGGAGGCCCTTGATGGTACCCAACATCGCGGTCGTACTTTGCGCGTCCGTTTCGCCATGCACGGCGCCGCCGTCCGTGTCAAGGAGCTGTCTCACACCGTTTCGAACGAGATGCTCTACAACGTCTTTTCTAACTTTGGCGAAGTCGAACGCGCCATCCACGTCGTCGACGAGAAGGGCAGACCCACCGGCGAGGGAATAATTGAATTCGAACGCAAGCCTGCCGCCAACGAAGCTATTGCGCAGATCCGCGACAAAGTCTTCTTGATTACAGCGTACGGTTTATTCTAGCCTTTTGAGATTAGTTTCTAACTCTAACTCGCGCGCTAGTATCGAAGTCGATGAACGAATTACTGGTTCGCATTCCATCTACGAGCGTTATTTCTAGTGAGTACTTTTTCTCTAGGCTTTTGTAGCGCGCTATATGTCTCAAAAGATCATAGGGATTCCCGATCGTGTTCATAATTCTATGTGTTGCGAGTTTCTGTGTTTAGGTCAGTTACAGCGCTGTTTGTCGCCGCGCGAGCTATTAGCTATTTTTCACAATTTTCTTTTTTATCGGCCTCTTTCACCAAAAAACACCTATCTTGTTTTTGCCCTCTATTTTGTACCAGTTATTCTCCCCGTTTCCAGATGCCCAAAGCCATTGGTAGCCGAACCGGTCGAGGCCAAGGACGAAGATGACGGTCTTTTCGAGCGAAATGTGCCCCGTACCCCTCAGTTACAGAAGTACGGCCTTTCACTATTTTCACCTTTGACTCCAATTGACTTGACAAGCCCTGGCTCGGCTAGATCCTCCGATTGGTGACACAAACAGACAACTGAATCTTACCGAACCGTGGTACCGTTCTGTGACTTTTGCGTCGTTGACGCTGGCGAGACGCCACTCATGGACTTGAAAATCCGTTGATTTGACTTTGACTAGGCCTCCCGGCCGGACTTGTGAACTTGTAAATGCCAATGAGCGCCCGCTAAGCGATTTCATGGTGTCATCAAGTTATGGAATAACGATTTCAGTCTATTTGTTCCGACCAGCGAGACCGTATTATGATGCCCACATCGACTATAACTATTTAACCGGCACTTGGCCCACAAAATTATACTATTTACCGCCTCATGGGTTATTACACTGAAAACGGTGTTTAAATGATACCGAAATTGTTGCGTGTTGATACAACGCTGCGAAGCCACCGGCATTGAGGAATGATTCCCCAAATAACCTCGTGCTTCCCATAACCTAATATTCACCACGATCTAAGCCGAGCCAGCCCCCTTGTCTTGTCTAATGGACTTGTTTTTCATGCTTTGATTTTGTATTGATGTATTACTATAGGGAACGTGAGGTTGGCCCGCGTTTCCCGCCGCAGAACACTTTCGAGTTCGCGTATGGCCAGAAATGGAAAGAGCTCTATGAGGTCGAAAAGCAGCGCCGTGCCCTGCTCGAGGACGAGCTGCGCGAAGGTCGAAAACGCCTCGAAGCCGACATGGAAATTGCCTACCAAGACTATCAGGCGCAAATGCTACGAGAAGGCTTGTTTTTTTAACTTTTTTTTTGGTAAAAATGGCGATTTGCCAGTGAAATTTGAGCTTTTGACTGGCACGATTTTTGCGCGTGCGTCCTAGTATTTTCTCCGGTTGAATGGTGGTAAGGGGTCGTTTCAGAGTACCCTGAATCTCTATAAGAGTTCATGCTGGCTTTGCATTACTTATGCGCGTCGTATTTTGGGCATTTAAAAACGCATTTCGGCCCTTTGCCTCTCATGTTTTTCCTCGTGTTACGGTTCTAAAGATAACAAATTCTTGGATCTTCGGACTTAGTTAACATTTTCTTCCGCAAATTTAGGTATTTCGCAGTGCATTAGATAAAACCTACGAAGTCGCTATATAGTTTACGAAAGTACAGGCTTGTAATTAGGTAAATCGTCCTCCCCTGAGCGACGTTCCATACCGCACAAAAATCTAAATCTCCTGATTGGCTGTTTAGACACTCTCAGAAAAATCCGCTTCTCTAGTTTATGAACTCGTTGCTCCTGCGTCATAGTCAAATGCGACACTCCTGGTTCTCAGATGTAGAGCCCCTGCATAATTCGCAGCTTTTCAAACAGAAAATGCGCAATTTTGTTGGTGATTGCTCCATGACGTAACACTGACTCGCATAAAGTGCTTGCAGCGTCGCAGAGGTTTTCAGGGAAAAACAAAAATTGTTTATTACTGGGATTATTGATTCCTTTTTAGATCTGCAGCGCCGGCAGCAAGAGCTAGAGCGCCTCGAAGCCGCGCGCCGTGAGCGCATGTCGAATATGGGCCCGCCCTCGATCAACATGGGACGAGGAGGACCGCCGCCGCACATGGTCCCGCCACCTTTCCAGTCCCAGCAGCAGCCAAACCGTGAGTTTCAGCTGTTTTCTATTTAAAAAAAAACACCTGTTGCTCTATTTATCCCATTTTTTCAGCGTTCTCTGGAGGTCCGCCTGGCCCTTTTGGGGTACCCTCGTTGGCGGTGCCGCCTCCGACTCATCATCATCAACAACAACATCCACAACATCAACAGCAACAATTCGCACCACCGCCACAGGTAATAACTTACTTTTTGAATTGGACTAATCGCTCAATTTTAGCAGGGAAACCCCAATGGTCCACGTCCGAACGTGATAGAAGGTGTCCAGCGTCTCCTCCAACTATTCAAGAACGACGATGGCCGCGGCGCTGGGCCAGGAAATCAGCAGAACATGCAGCAAAATCGTGAGTCTTTGTGCTCACTTTTTTGCGCACTTGTTTTTTTTGATAAATACTTCCATTTAAAAGCATACAAATCAAATTTTCTTTTCCAGATCCCGGTGGTGCTTTCAACAACTATCAGCCGCGCTACGGAGCGTCGGGCGACCACTACGGCGGCGGTTCGGATGCTTTCGGAAATCAGCCACCAATGAAGCGTGAGAGGCGCTAAACATGATCTCTACCCAGTTACCGTATTAAACGTGTCTGTTTCCATATTTATTCGTCATCCTATCCATGTGATCACCACCACCACCACTCGTCCTTTCCACGTTCAACGAGCTAGACCCCTAACTTGCAAAATTCTTTATTTTTTCGGCGCTTGTCCGTGGATAGATAAAAAAATTGTTTTATTTTTTGAAATGAGGACAATTTATTAATTATTCGGGCGTGTCCCTCTTCCAGCGTATCGGCGGGAACCTAAACGAGGCCTTGCTCAAATACGGGAAATTGCTGTGGCTGGCAAATAAGGGGTGAAGCGGCAAATGCTCTGAAAAAGGTTACAGGGTAGGCAGGTGGTAAGTGGGATACTGTGGCTGCGGGTTGTAGGCGTAGCAGATGAGGGTTTTGATGACGAGGGGTTGTGTGCCCTGCATTATGTACCATCTGAAATGTATAGATTGGCTCTAGCTCTGGCGTAGAAGATCGTTCTTTATAAAGAAGACCAACTGTCCGTCCAATCCACAGAATACGATTCGAGTTGCCGAGCCTAGATTCAAATCCAGAACCATACCACCAGTGACGTCGGTCAGCAGTTGAATCTTTTGAATAGGAGAGTAAGAAGTATAATCTAGCGTTTTTAATGCGTGTAATTTTGGCATCTAAATTGTTAGTGGCTATTTTGTTACCGGTATGAACATATTTCCGCAGGAACAAACGGCTTTTGCCACCTCGCAAATCGGGACGGTGTTAGCGAGGTCGACTGGTCTGAATCAAGTATTGCCCTCTCTATTCAAAAAATTAGCTCTAAATCGCTAGTTTTTGGAACCTGAAAGAAATTACCTCAAATACGGCACAAAAATTTGCGAGGAAATTGCTGAAGCATTGAAAGTTAGCGGCCCACATCGAGGGCAGACTAGAAAGTGTCTTGGTGAGAAGCTATCGCTTTTGCTTGGCTAGAGAATAGAACGATAGAACGCGTTAGATTTAATTTAGAAGTTAATTCTACTTACCCTGTGTCCCCTCGACCGTCCCATATTGTGGTGCGGCGGTTATCGGTTGTATCGGCTGCGCGGTATAAGGTAGCGTATAGTTTATCGAATTTGAATCGTAATTTTGGGCGGCAGCTACAGTAAGGAGCAAAAGAAACAGCATGCTTCGTATAGCCATTTTCGGCAAATGCGATGCTTCTGAGGAGTGGCAGCTAATTTTGTAGTCGTGGGCCTGTTTGTGTGAATTTTCACGTTGTGGCGGGCAGACCGGGGTGAAAGGCCGAAAAAATTGCAAAACGCTAATCGGACCGGTATTGTTGACTCGGCGGGGCCGGATATTATTCAAATCCCCCTGCCAAGCGCCTCGTTCGAATTGTTGACGATGAGTGAGGGAACGGGGTGGCCGGGGTCAGGTTTTATCGGCCGTTCTAAAAAGTTTAACTGAGTTTTGTGTAGATTTCGCTACGAAAAATAGCCTGTAGCATTTATTCCAGTTACACATAGAGATCACTAGGATTATGGGGGCAAATAGATAAAAAAACGTCAAGTCATTACGGGCATCGGGTCAAAGGGGTGAGGACAATCGCTCTAAAAATTGGCCTAACAAGGTCTGGTGGTACCCATTTTGGGGAGATGGGGAAATATCAAGATTCCTACACGCAAAACGGCCGGTGTAAATTGGGCACAGAAAAAATATTAGGATAAATTGAGTTACATTTGACAATTGGATACTAGTATAATCCCGTGTGTGATTTTGAAACTCAAGCCTTTTGTGGGGAAGGTGGTGGGGGAAATTAAGACATAGTGGAAAATTCGGGGGATAATAAGAAAAATACTGTCGTTTAGGCCGTCTTCTTCTCGAAAGCCGTGTAGCGCAGCAGCCCGGTACCCTTGCCGACGAGGCTGGTCAGCTTCCGGTTCAGGTTGTAGAACTGGAGGAGGAAGTCGTGCGATTTCTGAAGAATGGAGAATTTAGACTTTTTTTACCAGATTTTCACGGCAAAAAGTAACTAAATAATTAGAAAAAGGCAAGACTAGAAAACTCACCTCATGCCGATAGACGCCAAGAGGCGCGAGCTTCTGCTGCAACGCGTGGGTGGCCTTCATCAAGTTGTAGTGGGGGATCTGCGTGAAGAAGAGGTGGTGAGCGACATGCCCGTCGGTGATGTGGTGCATCAGCTGGTCAATGCCGTAACTAAAAGCAAACTATTAAGTGTATACAATTAACACTAACCCATATGGCCGGTCGATGGTTTGCAGCTGTCCGCGCACATATCCCCAAGTGCCGTCCTCGAACACCTCAAAAACGAGTTTAAAAGCCAGGATTCACTTGTTACCTTGATATCCTCGGTTTGATGTTGCAGATAGGTGACCATCGTCAGCCAGAAGCCCTGGGACATCACGGGGAGTAAGTAGAACTTCACCCAGGCGTACACGCTGTAGTCCAAGTACCAGAAAGCAGCCTAAATTCAAAACTGTCAAACGCACGGCATTGATTTTTTGCGTTTCCGAATGTCGCGTAAATTTCTAACCCTGCGCGACCTTTTGCATCCCAAAAAAGAACTCCGTACCGTTGCCCAGGCGATGCACACGAGTCCCGAAACGGCGCATTGAATTCGCTCGGTGGTGTTGTCAAACATGCGGGAGAAGGGCCAGAAGTGAGAGCCATCAGTGACACCGGCCACGGTGTACATGTACCACCTAAAACAAAAATAGGTATACTCGAAGATCGATAGAAAAAGGAATTCCATCCAGCCATCCGAAAACACTCACCTAACAAGTGCCGTGTAGGGGTTGTTGGCGTAGAACCTCTTGAAGTCGTTCCACGTCTCGTAGAGATCGATGGTGATCCAGGGATGGCCGTGGTCCTAAAAATAATAATAGAGAAAATGGGGTTTAAATTACCTTCTCCAGATGCGACGTGTAGGTGTGGTGGAGACGGTGGCTCTTTTGCCATGGCCAATATGGGGCCAAAAGGATACCGTGGCAGATGTGGCCGATGATGTCGTTTACCCACTATAAAAGTTCAGAATTGCAAAAGCATAAAATTTACAACACTATACCTTGTACTTGGAGAAAGTTCCGTGTCCACAGTCATGGCCGACGACGAATACGGCGAAGCCCATCATCCCCATCAGGAAATACCTAAAAATCCTTACTTATCGGTTCTCACGCTTTTAGAAAAAAGTTAATAAGTTTGAACCGTATAAAATCTCACCAGAACAACATGCCGGGCAACGAGAACATCTCAAAGTAGGGCTGCGCCTTGTAGAGCCCAGCGATGATCACGAAATCGAGTACCATGTAGGCGATGGAGGTGGGCAACGACTTCTCAAAGCACTCGGCCGGGATGACGGCTCGAAGCTCGCCCACCGTCGGGATGTTCTGAATTGAAGGGTTCAATCAGCAAAGAACTAAGAAAACTGACTTGCATCAACGGATCCGCATCAGCCAATTCCTTCGGGGTCTTTTCGACGGCGGCGGTCACGGTCTCCTCGAACACGGGCTGGAAAAATGTGTAAAATAAAGAACCACTAAATAAGGCAAAACTCAGTCAATTGGCTGTATTTCTCACCTTTTCCTTGCGGAACGACTCGTAGGCATCCTTGGTGACGGAGACGAGATCCTCGTCGATGGGGGTTGGCAGATCGGCGGCGGTGGGCGGCATTCCGACCAGGGGACCCAAGTCTGCAAAAAACAACATGAATTGAATGGTTATATCAATCATTATTGAATAAGCACCTCAAAATTATACTTCAGTACCAAGCAGGAAAAATAGGAGCAACCCGCCGGGCTAAAGCTACTCAACGCGCCAATGGTCGCTGGACCGTTAGGGGTTACGTAATGTACTAAATTTTGAAAAAGCCGATTTTCTGCAACACTTATGAATTGTAGAAAGTTTGTTTTTAAATTTCAGAGGTGGTTGGCGGAATTAAATCAGAATAATAACTAACCCTCAAACCCGTCGCAGCTCATAATAGCGTCGAAAACTTTAGCAACGGATAATAAAAGAGTAATATTGCGCCTAGAATGACAGAATGCCCCTGACAACCTGGGCAGAAACTTTTCAATATTTCAAGCGATGCGAACCGCCGATAGCGTCAGCCCAAATTTGTCAGCGCATGTAGCGCACGTTATGGGGAGGTGCGCAGCTGCTTTCTCAGCAAATTAGGTGTTTTATTTTTGGACGCGGATCGCGCGATTAGTTAGTACAGTAGCCTCCGGGAAATGCCGAGGAAGTAAATATCAGTAGCCAAATGAAATCGAGCGCGGTCCGACTTTCAATATCTGACAATCAACGAAATCGTTCGGCTTTGCGTAGTAACGAAAAAGGTAAAAAAATGGATTCCATTTTCACGGGTATGGCGAAAACGCATGCCTTTCCTCCTGGGGGTCATTCGGATCTTTCCGGCTAGAGCCAGGCGTTTCTCAGAAAATCAACGCCATTTTTCTAAATTTTCCCTAGGGGCAGCTCTGCTGGGAGCGGGGGATCTGAATGGAGCCTTCCGGCGCCCGGAAGTGTTGTTCCTTTTTGGACGGGATTTTCCACTTTTCCTCCTAGTCATCCTGCTAATCTGGTTCCCCAGAAAATTTCCCACGATTCTTTTTGGAAAGGAATGGGCATTCAGGCTTGGCATAGACAAAATATTAGGCGAGAGGGACGTGATTCTGGGCACAAAACCGAAGGGAAAATGAGGAAGCTAGGGTATAAATTCTCTAGGAGTTTGCAATTCAGCGGTTGGGACGGGGCGGGATGAAGCTTTGTTCCGGGGACCCGGAACGAAAAACGTGGCGTGTTGACCCCAGGAGACCCGGGAAGGCTCGAAATCGCGAATGCATTTGAAAGCTTTTGGATCATTTTGGGTCTCTTTGAGTTCGAAAAAGCTTGCGAGGAAAAGCAAGCGAAAAATATTTTAAAAACACTGACCTGGCACTGGTTTCGAATTTTAGATGATTAAATCGCCCCTACTTATCTTGCTGCTTTGCTCGGATTTTAGAAAATGGTCGAGCGGGGTCTTGTAAGCAAGTTAAACGGGTGTTTTAATGCTAAAAGATAAGGCAAAAATATGTGTCAATCAGCCTGTTGATATCGTATTTTCATCACCTTATCGGTACCGCCCACTGGGAGGCTCCAGCGACGAAATGGGGCTTTTTCGAAGGTTTTCCGGTGGGAGACGTAAAAACTGTGGTTTGTTCGGGGATCAGGGGGGTTTATAAAGGGGCGACCACCGTATAGATAAATATGGATGAATAGAGGTATCTTTCGTCTAGATAATCCGGAAAATGAAAATAAATTTATTGTTTATCGGATTCAAAAAATTTGTTAGCTAAAATCCATAAAATTACTAACGAGTGAAAAAGAATGATAACCCATTGTAGATCGTTCAACAGATTTGAAACAATGGTATTTTTAAATGTCTGATCGTTTAGCTGACAAGTTCGGGCTTTCCCAGAGATGAAACTGGTAGACAAACTGTCTGCCCCTTTATCACCTACCGGGTTCCCAGACGCTCCTCTATCACACACTTTTTCCCAAGCCAACCCTATCCGACGAACCTCAGAACCCCCCTTTTTCTAAGGACAAAGTGCTACCGTTATCTGCGACGCACCGTCCGCCGGTTTGTCTGTGAATTCCTTTCGCGAAGAGTTCAACCGATAAGTCGAACACCCCGTAATGAGACCCGGCACGGCCACCCCGACTGAAAAGCCCCCCGAAAAAGGGCAGAGATCTCGAAATAATCGGTGGTTGGGGGGGGCGGTCAGGCAAAGTACGACAGGGAATGGCGCCATTTGGGGGTGAGAGAGCGAGAGCGAAGGATGTAAGAGGGAGCAGGGGGTGATGAGAGCCGGAACTGTTCGTGGCCTCGAGCTATTGGGTCAAGCACACACAGCTGGGTGGAATTGGGTGTTGTCAGCTGGGTTTAGGTATGGAAATTATAGGCTTTAGATGATGGTTATAATGAGATTAAATGCTTGGAAGCCTCCGGTTTTGTAAGAAATTTTTGGGCAAATTTTGCCTCCTAGCGCTTTAAAAAATCATAGGTTTTTGAGTTTTTAAGGCTTATTGAAGCTTTAAAAAACTGTCTAGCGTTGGGCCTGAACTATGGCCACAGTGACCCCCACAAAAAGCGTGGAAGCCTGGGCAAACTCTGGGAAAAAGAGATAGTGACCGCCTGCTGCCCGTCCAAGCTTTTGACGTAGGGAGGAAATACTGGAAGGGCTGGAAAGAGGGGGGGATCCGCTGTCGAAACCAGGCGAAAGAAAAGATCAGGGGAATTTCTTTAAGCTGTTTCAAAGATCACTAAAAATTGGAATTTCTTTGAGACCGGAAATTGAGTGAAAAATAGCGACCAGGCTTTTAAATACCACGAAAATTATCCACGAAAAGACGAGTGTCCGTTTTACTGACGTTTTTCGGTTTGGAAAAAGAAATTTTGAAAACACTTATTAGCTCGAAAATGTGCTTAAGGGGCAGGAATTGAAAGGTTAGATCTAAAAATTTCTATCCGACCCGCGTCAGCAGAAACGGGATCTGAGAGGTAGAAATGAGAGCCGAACCGGGATGGGGCCTCCGGCTCCTTTTTGCCCGTTCTTTTCTGGATGAGCCCCAATATAAGCTCGAGATTAGAGTAATGGGCCAGAGAGAGGAAGGCGAAGAAAAATGGAATAGGAGATCGGCTAGAGTCTATCCCTATTCCCGTACTTATTCCAGGCTATGGGCAACGGGTTGGAAATAACACGTTTCCCTGATTCAGGCACGTTTTTCGACCGTGAAATCTCTAGTTTCGGGGGGTTTTTGGAAAAAGGCGGAAGTTGTGCTTTAGAAGCTGTGCTACTTTTTTAGGTTTAATATCGATTTAAAAGACGCAGAACAATGTCAAGGCCAAAATTCTCGGTTAGAGTGCAGTTTACCCCCCCCCCCCAAGCCGGCACCCAACTTTTCTATCTCGGCTCCCTGTTCATCTACAGGTGTGTCAAGTATACCAAAATGCTCGCCAGAGCAAGACGAACATTTTCGTATACTTTGCACACCTGTAGATGAACAGCGAGCCGAGATACGGTAGGTGGGTGACGGCTGGGGGGAACTGCACGGCTTTAAAAACTTCCGCGGGGGCCCCGGGGGCGCCGTGTACCTCCCGCTACAACCTGGGGGGGGGCTCCCCCCCGGGGGGGGCCTGTCCGGGGGGGGGCTTTGGGTGTGTTGGGGGTGGCCTCCTGACTGCCTTTAAGCCATATTCTCGATTCACCAAGGCTCGAATGGACGCCTAATGGGAAGGGCAAGGCCTAAATTGGCCGCCGATCCTCAAATAGAGTGGCCGAGATGGGCGCACGTCTGCTGAGAAAATGAAGGAGGCGTGCAAGGATGGCCACAGCGGAAAGGGGGTGACGCCAAAAAACGAATTTGTGCCCCCGCGGCGCCGCCCCCTAGGGCCGACGGGAACTGCTGCCAATTTGCAGATTTTTTTACTCACTGTTCTCCAGGGGAAATCTCGTAGTGAAAGGGTTTTTGCAAAATATCAGCTGTTATCAAACAAAAACGAGGCCGTGGAAACGCAGTACAAAGTGAAAGGGGGCAGAGTACGAAACCGTCCGTCTTTCAAGTGACCGTAAATTCATGAAAAACTGGTTTCATAGCAGCTATAATCTGTTAATAAAAATCATTATGCTATAGACAGCTTGTTAAAACAGATTTACAAACCTCAAAAATTCTTAAAAAAATAAATTTTCTGTTTTTATTTTAATTTTTAATTTTTTAAAGGTGGAACCATCAGAAACTTGTCAAAGACCCTGAAAAACTTTTGAGTGAAGCAGGATGGGTGTCGAGTGGGTTCTCTAAAATGCGGGAAGTGTGCCGAGGGGGCTTTGGGGTCGAAAAAGAGGGTAGAAAGGGCGGAATGGACGAACTGAATGTCCCCTCCCCCCTTCCAACTGGCCAGTCCCCTCCATTCTTTTCCGCTTTTTGAGCGTCAGTCGGTCCAGACGGATCGGGTCATTCCCCCACCCCTTCCACCTCTCATCTATCATTCTCTCCCTCTCTCTCTCTCTCTCTCTCTCTCTCTCTCTCTCTCTCCTATCAAAAAAGACTGACCAGGACAGCAGCGGTCTGTGTGAACATTGCTTTCACACGCCCGCCTACATCGCCCTACAATCGAAAACCTGCACTGATCGGTGGAACGGAACATCGGAGCCAATTGGAACTTCATCAAAATCATCAAAAATTGTCATTAAAATCTCTTAAATATCTTAAAGGGCCGGTTCCGTCAAAATTATCGAAATTTCCAAGAGTCAAGATTTGAAAAGGAGGGTAAAGTAACTAAAAACTTTTAACTCACAAGAAAATTATTGGAGCGTTTACGTCGAAAAGTCCTGAATGCCTTCTGAATCAGAATTCCCAGACAGACAAAACAATCAAGACGATTCAATAGGCCCACGCTCGGTTCTCATAACTGGTTTGGCCAACCCGCAATAACCCCCGGAAAACGGGCGACGACTGGAGCTTGGCGGATATTGGAAAAATACGAAAAATTCCCGCAAGTTCCGCATAAAATTCGGGTTATTAAAGGGACAATGACATGTCAAATTTAGAATGAGCGTCTAGAGGCGTGCGGGGTGGTCAGGCATACTCAAAGTCGCGGAATGGTACTAATTACGGTTCAGCCGACCATA